TGTATGTTACAGTTAAAAGTTAATGTTTGCTACCCTGTAACTCCTCTACGAGGAACAAAATTGGGTAAGCTGATAGAACTACCAAAGAGAAATGGAAAATTCCCAAAAGATTTGAATGGTGTTAAACAGAAGCACAAGATCACACAAAGGTCAGTAAGTTTTACAAGAAAGTTGCACTCGTGAGTAAAAGTAAACCACACATGATCACAGAGATTGTGAAAGAATCACCACTGTAGCGATAACGTGAAAGGCAACCTGAAGTGGTAGAATTTGAAGAAGGTGCCAATGATGATGTGTCATTTGTGCTGGTGCCATTTTTACCAAGACTGCACACAAAGGCAAAAAAACTTCAGCAGCTCATTTTAAGAGCAGCTTATGTCTTAATCTAGGACGTATCAAAAAGCAAAGTAGGATTTAGAAGCTTTGGTGGATACCTTCCTGGAAATACACACAAACCATGACCTGCAAGTGCAACAATAAACACAATTAGTAATTCTATAAGTTGAACTCAAGACTTCCTCTGAGTGCCTATTTTTATGCAATACATAAATAACTATGACATAGTACTTATGTTGTGACCAACAAATAAATGATCCCCAAAACATTGTCTTGGTATTAACATGCCATGAAAAACCCACCATGCTACCTCCCTCCCACCATTCCAATAAGGCGGCTTTTCAACTAGATGAACAATCTTTCTAATAATTTATCAAGACCATCAGTTCACAAAAATCAATTAATTAGCTATAATACAAGTAGCCATGTAATTATCACATACTTGGGTCAGTTGTAGTGATTGTGGCAACTCCCTTAAAATCACAGGTCCCAGGAGACTTGGCCATCCTTTGGTAATATGAGTTGAAAGCATATGTTGAATGTGCTACCACATTATCAGGTTCATAACATGGTTGCCCCTGCAACAGTGGGGAGCAATTGACTTTCCCTGGTCCGCAAGCCCAATCCAGTGCGGCCTGTAACATCTTAGGATCTGCAGCCTCCTTTGCAACACAAAAAGTTTGGTTAGTGGTGTCATTTGCCAACACGGTACCAGCACCTGTTAAATGTAAGACATAAACTGGCACCCCATTGCCATCAAAGAGCCCCCAGTTTTTCTCTGAAATTGAGCCAGGTCTCAAATCCTCATTGTAAAGCTCGTAGATATAAGTACTAACTGCAATTCCAGGGTGTTTTGGTGTTCCAGTGTTGTTAAGGACATGCTTGATTAAGTTACTGTTGTATGTGTTGGCATTGTCTAGTGTAGCTTCAGGTTCAGATGAATCACCCCTAGAGGGCCAGCCAGATTCAGTTACTACAATTGGGATGTTGGTGAAGTTTAAGTACGACATTGCAAAATATGCTGCATCAACCAGAGCATCAAAGACATTAGTATAATGAAGAAGTGTATTAGAATCCACAGCTTCTTTGTTAGGTGGGAGGGGGCGGAAAAGTGCATAATCTAATGGGATCACACCATTTGATTGCATGTAATCATAATATGGATATACATTGAGCATAAGGTATGACCCTGTTGACTGCAAATATTTCAGTAAGGAAACCATGACTGGGTCCCAAGTGCGATTAAAGAACGCTTGGGAAGGAGGAAAGGAGTCCAAAATGATTGAAGATGAATGTGGAGTAGAGACTTTGATTTGGCTATCAAGATTAGAAGCAACAAGGGCAGAATGGATGAATTTTAAGGCAGAAACTAGGACTGGAGCAGCATTAGGAAGGGCTGTCAGGACTTCAGATCCAACAGCAATGGCTGTAATGTTGGTGGTGGGTACATGAGCAATAACATTGCGTGCTACCCAGTTGGCTGCAGTGGCATTTGACTGACCAATGCCAAGGAGCTGGTCATTGGGAACAGAGACAGTAACTTCGATTCCTGTGTTGGCAAGTGCAAGAAGCATGGGTCGGTCAGCATCATATAACCTGACATGCCGGATATTCTGAGCCTTGAGAAGGGCCACCACTTGAGTTGGGGTGGGCATGTCAGAAAGGTCTGTACCTATGTTTACACCAACAAAGGCATCTGCAAATAGCAAACACAATATATGAGTTTTGACAAACATATGCTGCATGAAAACTTGAATTCGCTTTGTTGGAATTGGACACCAATTTGTAGGGATTTAGCAAGCTCAAAGGGCAATATTAAAAGGAAAAACACTACAAGATATTATGCAATAAAAAGGCAAAATAAAATGTAAGATCACCAATTTTACACAGTTTGACTTTGTTCTTCCCTCTAGAAGCCTACATCCACAGAGGAGAAGAGAAATCTTAATGCAAAGGAAGGAATATTTATGTTACCTAGGGAATTATTAATTATGAATATTTAGGGACTAATAATCAAGTGGATTTAATATTTTATATTTATTTAGGATTTGACATTTTCAATAAGATTCCTATGAGTTTAATTAGGGTTTTAGCTTTTGCATTTCAAAATAAGCTTAGGTTATATTGAATACTAAGTTGTGTTAGGATCTCACCACCCAATCAAGAAAACAGTGCTAGAAAGAAACTCAGAAGATGCTGACAACTCAGCAGCCAGAAGCACAGTCCAAACAGAGGTGACATGTGCCTCCACAAACCTACCCTTGCCTGCAACAAAAGACCTAACCTGGAGCATATGACCAGTTTCGAGAACAGTACCAGATCCAGTTCAATTTGCAAGGCACCACATCATTAGCAATGTGTCAGGCACATCAACTTCAAGTCTTGCCCAATCAGCAATGTGTTAGCACCAGAACTGTGCCATGTCATCACCATGCCAGTGGACCTTCACCCTGATTTCAACATGCTAAATTCTATTTTGTGATCTGTTTTACCCAGATTCAGGTTGGGAACTATTGCTTTTGGACAAATTTGTGGCTTCAACATTGATTTTCTATATTTTCCATGGAGTGAAATGATGGTACCTTATTTTAAAGAGTCATTGCTCATAGAACGATTAAAAGAAGTCTTCATGCAGCCCGCCCCACTCTCTTTTGGCTCAATTAAGGGATTTACTTTCAAGAGTGGAACAAGAACCAGGTCCATACTCAAAAAAAGCATTGTGTCCATCATTGCAAATTTCAGTTCAAGAGCAACTTTTCCACCATTCAGATGTTGATGTCAAAACTGGCATTGCAAGAGCCAATTGGATCTTGAGTGTGATGCATTGATCATTGAAATGTTCCACCACTTCCTAAAGTAAATTAAGGAATACCATTTACAAAGAATCTCATCATTCATATACACAATTATGGCTTGTTAGTGAAGAAAATCATGACATCTTTTTAGAGCTACTTTCCCTAATACTTGCTAGCATGAATGATGTCTTTAACCTTATTGCTCAAAAATTGGCAGAAAAAGTTCTTGAGAATTGTACCACTAAGCTTGATCTGTATACGACACAAGCCCAGAAAAAGAAGAAATTGACCTTGGGGGAAATTAAGGAGGAATTAAAGGAGAACGTCGAGGTCAAAGCCAAGGATAGTCATGAAAAGAACTTGGTAGTTATCTGACATCACTTGTAGGGTTCCAAGGTAGATTTCAAGTCACAAGAGTTACTAGAAGAACTTCAAGATTAAAAGGAAAATGACATGGTGGAAACTAGGGATTAATTTGAGATACAATGTAAGCGAGTAAATTTAATATTTTATATTTATTAGGATTTGATATTTCCATTTAAGATTCCTATTAGGAATTTAATTAGGGTTTTAGTTTTTCTATATAAGCTCAGGTATTAGGGTTCTTCAGAGAATACAATCAATTCAAATTGTCCTATAAAAATTCCTACTTCTTGAATTCTCTTCTCATCCTTGTTTCTGATTTCATTACTCTCTTCTGCTCTTTGCCTCTAATGCTCTTGTTCTATATCAAATCTACTAATCAAGAAAACAGTTACAATGTTGTACATTCTTTCTCCATGAAGATTCCAACTCTCACCATATTTCTCTTATCTGCTAGGTTTCTTATTGGCATTAAGATAACAGCTTTGAAGCATCATGTCACTCACAAAGCATGAACTAAGACAACCTATTTAAATAGTGCGTCCTCTTTTCAAAAGTTCTAAAATAGGAAAAATAATCAGGTAACTTATAGTTTCTCTGTACATTTCTCTACTCAATAGATAATGGCATGCGTGCATGATGGTACAACAAGAAGCCAGAATGACCCAATGTAGCCAATGAACAACAAATCTTGAACAAACATGCTAAGTGGGTTTTGTATGCTGATACATAATGCCTACAGGCAGCAACAGCATGGTCCCCACAATTTGACATGGTAATTCCAAATCTAAACACAAGTTGATAAAATATAGCCATTTAATTCTTGCCTATCAAAAAAATTTTTAAAAAAAAGTTATTTAATTCTACTGCATGACCTAGAAATCTCTTATATGGGTCCCTTTTTTGGTTGTGAGATTTGATTCACGGGACAGGTTTCAGACTTTCAGTGTTATTTTTTGGATGTTGCCTGCTTAGGAAAGAGATGGAAGGAAAAGCAAACTCTTCGGCTTCAAAAGGAACTATATAATAAATATACATAGCTGGGAGTAGCTAACATACC